TTTCCCTATCAGAAGTATCCTTTGTGGCATTGAAAATATGTAAAGCAGCTTGGTGTAGATCTTGGTCTTGCTGGAGAACTAAGTAGAAAATTCTGTTCCCTGCTGCTTAGATACTGGGTTTGCAAGATCTTTGTTTCCTCATGTCTGTAAGGGTCTAACACGTCCTTGGTTAACATTGACATGCTTATGTAGCATGAAGCACATGTTCCTTAACTGATTCAGATTTTTTTAAGATACTCTCTGCTAACTTATATGCTGAAGAAGTAATTCTGATACATTTATACAGATCAAAATTTTCTTGTTATAAAGACGAAGTTGGTGGAAACAACCTTTAAATAAAAATACATACCGATTATGTATTTGCAGTACAGAGCTTGGCAATAATGTTTAGCTTGGTGACATTTAATAAAAACTTATGGGCAAATTTAATATTACTGAATATGTGTTTATTTAAGAAACTTGGTCAGTGTGCAATCAAGTTTTAAAACTTCGTGGAAAATCAAATTAATCTCATACAGATGTTACATTCTTTCCAAGAATCGCTGTTACATGTTTATGGATTACTTTGTAACAGGGCAAACATATATTACTAAGGGCAAACTTAGCTGTGCTCTAACTGAAGGAAAGTATTTTGTACTATCTGGTATGAAAGGATAGTGCCAGAGGTGAAGAATGGTGAACAGTGAACTAGGTGAGCTCAGATGCAGATGGTAAAAAGCAGATTTCAACTTTCATTCATTACATTAGATGTATTAGATGTATTTAGATGTCATTCCAACAGAATGATAAACTTAGCTATAGCACAGTAATTCAGCAATGCAGCTGACAACATTTGTTAAAGGCTGCTGTGGTCCTCAAACTGGTTTTGAATTAGACTGTTTAGTGCAGGTGCTTTGAAACTGTGACTTATAGTTTCTTTTATCCAGTTACTTGTTTTTTCTATTAAATACTTCTTTGTTGGTTCAGAAGGTTTAGCATAAAGAATTGAAAGCCATTTCTTCTTTGTACCCTACTGAAAAATTTCACCAGATAACTTTTTTCGTATTGCTGGGAAATTTGAATTACTTTAGAATGTGTTTTGTTGCTTGTTCATTCTGATTTGGATTTCTGTTTTTGTGTGAGGCTACTGCATCATTAAAATACCTACTCTTCCTTCACAGGCCTATGAAGAGTACACCAGCAAACTAGATGCTCTACAACAGAGAGAACAGCAGTTATTGGAATCCATGGGGAACGGAACTGATTTCTCTGTCTCCAGTTCAGCTTCAACAGACACAGTTGCATCATCTTCCTCCTCTAGTCTCTCTGTAGCACCTTCATCCCTTTCAGTTTATCAAAACCCTGCTGATATGTCACGGAATAACCCCAAGTCTCCACAGAAGCCTATTGTTAGAGTCTTCCTGCCCAATAAGCAAAGGACGGTGGTGAGTCAGATTCTATTCACATACTTGTAACCTCAGTATTTCCTGTATCTCTCTCCTTCTGTATACAAAAGTTAATTTAGGAGCTGAAAAAATACCTGTGTTGGAGGTTAAAGAGGTGTCACAATTACTATGCCACATTCAGTTGTTTTGATCTGTTGAATGGTGTCTAGAGGATTAACACAGATGTGTTAACAAAGATGTGCATTACACCAGCAATACACAATACAAGACTTTCGGGAGTTCTACAACAATGAAGATACCTCAAAATTTAGAATTTTAGTAGTATTGTTTGTGTGTAAATTGGAAATACATACTCAGGTCTGGTCAGCAGGTACTGCAAATTAATGGTTCAGCTTCGGCTCAGGGAGTGAGCTGACTTCTTTTAGCTTTAGTTTTACACACCGCTTAGATCTAGTTGCGTTACTAAGTTGACCTTTTTTTTTTAACAGACTTAGTAAATTATCTCTGGTTTAGAGCTGGGAAATGGTGCTTATTGGAACTCTTGAGTGTTGGGGTTAGTGGCCTTGGAGCTGAAGTTTGTTTCTCTGAAACTTGAAGCAGTGCTCATCTTATAGAGAACGCCAGGAATTTCTTGTACAGTGACTCTTAATGTATTTACTCTGTTTCAGTATTTATTAATCCTACACGTAGTCTATTGAAAACTAAGGAAGTTTCAGAAGCAACTGCAGTTCAGAAGGAATTGCAGGTTACAGTGCAGGTTTAACTGCCAGTAGTCAGGTACTAGGCTACTAGCCTAAAAAGGACCCAGCAGTTTTCAGTGAACACTAAGATTACTTGCTATGGTAGACTTCCTTCATAGTCTCAATGGATAGAGAAGTGCAACACACTGCTTGCATCTTAGTCTTCCTTCATAACCTCTGGCTTTAAAACCAGACCTGTTGCGTCTTACTTGTGCTATTAAATGTGCTCTTTGCTTATGTAGCCATGATGGTAGTTTAGGGTTTCCAAGTATACAAGATAGTTTCTGATGTGATGGTTTGAAGCAGGAAGGAGACTGCTTGTGAAAATACATGGTACCTGCCATTGGGGCCTCATCCCCCATCCAATTCGCCATTCCATATGGCTGTTAAAGTGTGGATAAAATGTGTCCTTACAACCAGGCATGTAGCTGGGAGGAGAGAGGTGTTGTGAAAGTTGCAGTGTTGCAACAAGTTTCCCCCACTCCAACCTTAACTGCTTTTCAACCTTAACTTCTGAAAGAAATCTTACTTAATATCACAATAATTTTTTCAGTCTCTACTTCCAACCACAGACCCACTTCAGGATGGGAGAAATCTTGTCATATATTAGGGAGTCTTTATTTTCATCTGGGAACGCAATGACAGTTCTTAAACTGACTTAGAATTGTAGAATCATTTGGGTTGGAAAGGACCTCAAGATCTCATCTAGTTCCAACCCCCCCTGCCATGGGGAGGGACACCTCACACCAAACCATGTCACCCAAGGCTCTGTCCAGCCTGGCCTTGAACACTGCCAGGATTGGAGCATTTACCACTTGTTTGGGCAGCCTGTTCCAGTGCTTCACCATCCTCTCTTAAAGTGAGTGGAATTAAGTTGGTAACGGAGAACCAACCTCCTTATTTATCTTTGATCGTACTCTGAAGCAGTCCCAAGTACTACAACAGCCTTCTGCTTTTTGTTTAGAACTGTTAAAAATGCAGGAAATGGGGAGGAGGGGAGATGCTTACATTTTTGACTAGCAACTGCCTTGTTGCTTGAGAGCTGTCTACATTTTTTGTTTATTAGTAGTATTGTTTGTGTGTAGGATCAGGCAAATACATCTGTTTGAGTTGGCTCTGGTTAGAAATGAAATGTGAGGAAACTGATGGAGTACAAAGAATTGAGACCATATTGATCAGTGTAAGTCATTTTGGTGCATATTTAAGGTAGCTAATGTCAAGTTTCTTTGTACGTGTCATGGTAAAGCACAGTGATGGATAAAGTTTTTCCTAATGTAGGAAAAGGTGAATAGGTGCTTCCTTAGAAGCCTAGCCGGTATGTGGTAGACCCTACTGCCTCTGACCTGTAGCAGCTGGAAGTTGGCATCTTGGTTGAGCCAGTGACAGAGCAGGATTAGAAGATAACTTTTTTTGAAAGCAAAACCAAGTAGCTATCTTGGTTAGTTGAAGTGGGATCAGTGAATTTGTAGCATCAGAAATAGAAGATTGTTTTCCTTCTCCAGTCAGTCTGGGAAGGGAGGAAGGGACATTTCCTTCACTGAACAATCTCTTAAAAAAAGAGATTATTCCCTGTTTTCTGCTGGGGGAAAATGTTTATGCCCTATAATGCAGAGAGATAAATGTCTGAAATACGTGTACTTCCTCTTTCCTCAGTGGCATGGTTCAACTGGCAAGTTAAATGTCCTTTGAAAGAAGCATTCTGCACAGATATGACCAGGATAAATCTGTGCGGGTGGGTTTGTTTTGTTGTGTTCTAGGCCAGAGAGAAGAACGTTGAACTAATAAAAATGCAAGATGGTTAAATTCTACCTGAGGCCATCAGTTGTTTTGCAGAACAAAATGATGAGACTTATCCAAACTGTGGGTGGCAGAATTTCAGGAAAAATTAGTTCAGAGCTTATTTGGATTAGGAATCTAAATGGCTGTGGGGAGCATAGTAACAAATCTCCTAATTAAGGGAGAGCTTTTGGATGGGAGAGTGATGTAAGAACTTGAGCTGGCTGCTAGAAGTCCAAGAGATTGTCAGATGCTGAGACTTGGGTATGGTGGGAGGGAGATAGTCTAGAATGGGAAGTAGATGATAGTGTGTCAGCATAAAAGCAAAGTTTACATTTACTGGTGAGATTTCTGAGAGAGTACATGGAGCCAGAAGAAAATGCAGCCTTGTGGAATCCTTAGATAATTGTGTTGTGGACTAGGGTGTTTGGTTGGTTGTTTTTTGGTTTTTTGTTTGTTTTTTTTTTTTTTCAAATGATGTGATTTTTATGTTAGAAGGTGCCAGCAAAAAGAGAAAAGAAAAATATGACACTCATACAAATAAACAGGAGGAGATACATAGCTGGTTGTTGGGAAGGGGTGGTAAATCAAGGAGCACGAGGATTAGCAAGTGATCCAGAGGTATGGGAAAAAGCCATTAAAGAGGATAACCTCAGTTTAATGTAAGAGGCAGAAAACAGTGAGAAAAGTTGAACTGAAGGCGATGAGTATAAATGGCTTTCTCCAAGTGTAAAGATTACAGGAATATGGTACTTGTATATAGGACAAGATTTAAGCCTTTTGGGGCATTGCTTCTAGTTGTGTGGTTATTTTTATTTTTTCTCCTTCTTTGAGTGTTTAGGGGGATGTTTTTTGAGCACCTGGGTAAAGTATCTTTTGCATGTCTTCAGTGCTGCCAGTTTTAAACAGGTAGGCTTGGGATAAGGAAAAAATGCCCATTCCCAATTGCAAGGACTGTTCTGATTTTTGCCTTTCTGTGTAAAAGTTGACAGAACACTTAGAATTATTTAGGAAAGTCAGCTGTTAGATTGCTTGGTTCCCATAGACCTTTAGACAGGTTTCTTGTGGCACATAAGTTGTGGCTGAGCCTTTGCAGGAAAGTGTTCTGAAACCTTGGATAGAACATATGTTTTGTGGACGTATCCGTAGTGTCTCTATTACAGTGAAAGAGTAGAAGAATAGGATAGGCACATACAGTATTTTCTCTGAGCCCTCTTCTAAATGTGAGCTATTTGTCACTCAGGAATTTTGTAAGTTTAAGTGTTTTCTAACTGGAAACCCTCTGTCCAGTCTCTATTAAACCTGCGCTATGGATACTAGAAATCTGTGTCTTGTGGTATGGAATTCCACAAGCATGATTTTATGTGGTGTGAGTAATCATATTCTGTGTTGATCTTTAAATCTACCACATGCTAGCTCTCTTGTACTTACTAATGTACAAACACTTATTTTCCTTCTTATACTGAAGGAAATAAAGGCTTCTGAGAAAAGCCATTTAATACAAGACCTGGTACAAAAACAAATAGCTAAAACTAGTAAAAACTACACAGGGGAACAATACTGCATTTCCGATGTAGTGAAGTGTCATAGTTTAAGCCCAGCCAGTAACTCAGAACCAGGCAGCTGCTCGCTCGCTCCCCTGTTTCTTCCCCCCTCTCCAGGCAGGACAAGGAGGAGAATCGAAAGAATGTAAAACCCACGATAGGAACAGTCCAATAACTGAAGTACAAGATACTACTACTAGTAGTAATGATAAGGGAAATAACAAAGGGAGAAAATGTAAACCCAAAAGGGGAAGGGGCGGGGGGAGGAGAGAAAAGGGAAAACCTGCAAACAGTAAACACAAGTGATGCCCAATACAATTGCTCACCACCCACTGACCGATACCCAGCCTGACCAAAGCAGCAATCTGCCCTTCCAGGTAACTGCCCCCTGTTTATATACTGGGCATGACATGCTGTGGTATGGAATACCCCTTTGGCTAGTTTGGGTCAGGTGTCCTGCCTCTGCTTCCTCCTGGCTTCTTGTGCCCCTCCCTACTGGCAGAGCATGAGACTGAAAACGTCCTTGATCGGGGTAAGAATTGCTTAACACACTGATGTTTTAGTTGTTGCTTATCAGCATTGTTCTCGCGCTAAACCTGAAACACAGCACTGCGCCATCTACTAGGAAGACAAATAACTCAATCCCAGCTAAAACCAGAACATGAAGTTTAATAGGAAACAAGAGAATGTGATAGGGATGCTTCTAACTCAAGTTCTTTATGAACAAGATCATATATATGTCTTGCTTAATATTAGCAGCCTTAAAGGATTTTGATTACCTAAGAAATCTCTTCCAGCCAAGTACTTAGAGTGTGGGAAGAAACAGTCTGAAAGCAAGTTAGCCATCCTGAACAATAGAGTGTAAAAAGGTAGAAGTTGCTCTTAATCTGTACATAGCCTGCTGCTGCCTGCCACACACTACTAGCTTCTAGAGGAAATTGTTTGCTTTGTGTCTTCTGGCCTTCTTAGTGGAGTGGCT